CTTGACAAGTGTTTTGGCACAGGGAGCTCATCTCAAGGTCACCCCATGGCTGAGCTGCTCCCTTCCAACCTCCACGTCAGCTCAAAGCAGGACGGGCTGGTGTCCCCCAACCTGTGTGGGGAGTTACAGTTCCCTGCAAGGGACTTTTGGGTGGAGAACATCCTCTGTGGATCCACGGTGCTGTTGCCATCAGCAAATGCACCACTCGCCTCTCAGGTTCTGTAATCCCCATCTCCCAGAGTCCTATGCCTGAGGGAAGCTCATATTTCACATTTCTGAAAGGCAAAGTCTGAGCCCCTCAGGATGCACAGAAAAGCCAGAGGCATAAACCTTATGGCTTGAAAAGCAGAACACAAAAAAATGTACCCAGTAAGTGCTGCTTTTTTTTTTATTTAATAATTCTTAATTTGAGACTCTGCTCTTGATTTTTGTTCTCTGAGTCATGGTCAGAATTATCAGGGCTCTGGGAGCCATCACCTGGCATTTGCAGGGTGCACTGGGAGGGGAGGGAGGCAGCTCAGCCCTGCCTGCTCTGTGTTCCCTTCAGCACCACAAGGATCTGGCTGTGAGAAAACAGAGCTCCACCGCCTTTTCCTCAGGGCCCCTCGGTGCTGCAGACACAAACTGGAGCACAGGCAGTGTCTAAAGTTCATGTTCTGGCTGAGTGTAACCAGTTACATCTCTGTTGCCCACGATTTGCTTTGGTTTTCCCCCCCTGGGCTGAGATTTTCCAGCCCCACTCCCCGCACAAAGGAGGTTTGAGAGTCTCTTTGAACACACTTTGGCCATCGCAGAGCACACAGGCAGTGGAAAGTAATATCCCCACAATAAACATGCCCTGCTTTTTTCCCTCGCTTTCGAGAATACAAAACAATCTTCCAGTTTCGGATCTGCTGCCGAAACTGCTGGGGGTCAGGGCTGACATCTGGCAGGGACTCGGTGCTGACCGTTCCAGTAAACACTGAATCTCCCTTGCTGAAAGCTACAGCCACTCAGGGACAGCACATTTTGCAGCGATGGTACCTTTTAATCAACACTTGGAAAGCTCCAGACAGCAGGAGCAGGATGAAAACAATCACTTGAGAGCTCCGAGGGCAGGTCAGAGCCGGGGATGGAGGCAGGCAGAGGTTTCACACCCAGGCGGGGAGCGGCAGCCTGGAGTTACCTATGGGCAGCAGATGTTCAGCTGTCCTTGAGAAGGACAATGTGAATGAGATGGAAGGAGCCAGGACCACTAAATCCCTCCTTGGCCAGCGTCGGATCAGAGCCGTTCAACCATACATCACTGAAGGCTTCCCAGAACTGCAGAAATACCGGAGAGAATTCGATATAAATCATAGAAGGATTTAGGTTGGAAGGGACGCCTGGAGGTCTCCAGCCCAGCCCAGGAGCAAATGAACACTGCAAAGCCGGGTCAGGCTGCTCAGGGCCACGTCCAGGCACGTTTTGAACACGTCCAAGGCCGGGGATCCCAGCGCTGCTGTCCTGCGGCTGCACCACTTCCAACACAATCCCAACCTCAGCGGCCACATCCACGGCTCTTCCCAGCCCATGGAGAGCTGGTTATCCATGAGGGAATGGCAGAGGGTGAGAGAGGCAGAGCCTGCAGGGAAGGCACAGCCACGAGCATTGCTGTGACCAAGGAGAGCTGCAATAGGGTCTGCAGCCAAGCGTGGCCTGCAGGGAGGGGTCATGGATACAGGGGAGATTTAGGGGGCCAAAGGGGGGCAGAACCAGAACCATTCTAAGATCCTGCCCATGACACTGGAGTACACTGGTGGCTTCCAGCCTCACACCCCGGCACATCTGGCACACCCTGGTATATCCTGGTATATCCTGGTACACCCCGGCACAGCCCGGCACATCTGGCACACCCCGGTACACCCTGGCACATCTGGCAGACCCCGGTATATCCCGGTATATTCCAGCAGTGCCGTTTCCCATGACAACGCCGTCAGCAGCGCTCAGAGCGGACTCGGGGCCGGGCAGGTGTGAGGCTCCCCGTGGCTGTGGCAAAGGGCTGTGCTTTGCACATCGATGAACTCCCAGGAGCTCCCTGCTCCTGGCACAGCAGCCTAAGGCTCTCTGGCATTTCCTGCAAGCAGCTGTGTGTGACCTGCACCTGCCACCGACCGGCCACTGGGAGCATCCATCATCCATCCATCATCCATCCATCCATCCATCCATCCATCCTCCATCCATCCATCCATCCATCCATCCATCCATCCATCCATCCATCCATCCTCCATCCGTCCATCATCCATCCTCCCCGGAGCTGCCAGGACCCCCCTGTGCCGGGCTGTGGCTGCAGATGCTGTTGCTGCAGACCTGGTGTGGGTTTTCTCACCCCGATATTGCACCCTGCAGCAAACCCCCCTTTTCCTCACGGGCCCCGCTGTGGGAAGCGTTTTGTGCCTTGTCCCTTTCTCGTCGGAGCGTGCCGGTGTCTGCGCCTTCCCCGGGACCCTCCGCCAGCCCCGGGGACGCTCCCAGCCCATCCCCGCGGGCGGCTCCGGCCAAATCGCAAAGGGTTTGGATCCCGTTTCCCGGCGCGAGTGCCAGGGGCGGGGAGATCTCGCTCCCATCTATTCTTTCTAGGTACAAAACACGCATTTCCAGTCAGAGCCGTTTCTCTGGCAGGGGCTGGGAGCTGCTCGGAGCAGGTCGGCTGCCCCAGGTCTGGCTCCCCCGGCCCTGCTCTCTGCATGTTCGCATCGAGGATGCATCACCCGCCCAGCCCGGCCCGGGGCCGCATCCCGCGGGCCACATCACAGCCCCGGAGGCGCCGGAGCCGCTGCAAAGCTGCCGGTCCCCGCATCCATCTGCTCCCTCTGGAGCGGGGAGCTCGTGTTTAACGACCACGTTAAACGACCGTGTGGAATTTGAGCTTTTTCGCTCAAGGATTACATCACGGTGCAACGCCAGCGGGACGGACGGACGGACGGACCGACGGACGGACGGGGCCAGCCCGGCTGCGCTGTCCCTGCTCGTTCCCCGTGTCGTGCCCCGTGTCCCCAGCCCGCAGCCCTTTGCCCTGTGCGGGTGAATAGAAAATCCGCCTCCATGCAGAGCCCACCCAGGGGCTCATGCACGGCGCCCCCTCCCCATCTCCTTGGCGTGTCCCAGCGCCGGGTGTGGAGGGCAGAACGCTCCGGAATTCACACCTCCCGGAATTCCTGCGGCCGTAGCCATCAGCGCTTTCCCTAAAATAAAGTGGGAGCTGAGACAAGGCAGACATGCGGGCTCCCGAGGGCCGGTCCCTAGCGGGGACTGAGCTCACGCGGCTTTAAGTGGGCGGCCAGGTCGGGCCTTCACACCTGGCGCAGCTGGAGAGGAACCGGGTGCATTTGCCGATAACCGGCTGCCAATTTCCGCAGCGGTGGAAGGAGCGGGGGGAATGGGGACAATGGTGACAGGGAGCCCTGCGGGAAGGGGGTGCAGGCAGGGCGTTCCGTGCACACGCTCCCAGCACTTTGGGGTCACGAGGAGTCACGTCCAGGGACAAGCAGCATCTCAAACCCTCGGCACGTGGGGAAGGGCAGTGTTGGACCTGCAATGGAGAGGGTGGTTTTGCATTCTTTGCCCTTCATCCATACAGCAGATTCTCATTCACATCCACACAGATTCTCCCCTTCTATTCTGGCCCACCTGCAGTATTCTATCCACCTCTGGAGTCCACAGAGATCCTCCCAGGGCTGGAGCCCCTCTGCTCCGGAGCCAGGCTGGGAGAGCTGGGGGTGCTCACTTGGAGAAGGCTCCAGGGAGAGCTCAGAGAACGGGATGGGCTTGAAGTTCCCTTCCAACTCAAACCATCCCATGATCCTGTGACTGATCCCACATGAACTCCCTGCTGCCCCAGCTGCTCCCCGAGCCCTGTCCAGAGACCCCCGAAAAGGGGGGTGAGGAGTTCAGTGGGGACACACAGGGTCCAGCTTTGGTCTCGGGGCTGATGGAACCTGGAGCTCCTGAAGGGGCTGGGGCTGGAAGTGGCCCAGCTGCCAGACCCCCCCTCATCCCCGGCTCTGGGGGTCGCGGGGGCAGCGTGTCCATCACCAGCCCCAGCCGGACCGGGGGCTGCGTGTCCCCAGGGCACCCCTGGCCGGGAGAGGACCCCAGGGCCCGGCAGCACGTTTTCCTGCAAAATTCCCGGTTTTCCCTTGCTGCCGGCGGCCGCACACCCCGCGCCCGCCACCTAACGGCCACCGCCGGGGCCACCGGCACCGGGGCACTGCCATGGGGACCCGGGCATTGCACACCGGCACCGGGGCACTGCCATGGGGACCCGGGCATTGCACACCGGTACCGGGGCACTGCCATGGGGACCCGGGCATTGCACACCGGCACCGGGGCACTGCCATGGGGACCCGGGCATTGCACACCGGCACCGGGGCACTGCCATGGGGACCCGGGCATTGCACACCGGCACCGGGGCACTGCCATGGGACCCGGGCATTGCACACCGGTACCGGGATCCGGACTCCGTGCACGGGGCGCTGGCTCCGGGCACGGTACCGGGCGTGGGGCCGATCCCTTCCCTCAGGCCCCGCGGCTGGAGCAGCATCCCCCGAATTCCCGCCTGCACCCCCGACACCCCCATCCCCTCACCCGGCCGGTCCCCACCTGCCTCTCAATCCCCTCTGAGGCCACCCGGGATGCGAGACCCCTCAGGTGCGACACACACCCATCACCCTAAACCCCCTGGTCCCCATGCCGGTGGGAGCAGCCCCCCCTTCCTCCCCCACCGCCTGCCTTGGCAGCTCCCCCCTCTTCCAGCTTTTTTGGCAGAGAGGAGCCGGCTTGGAGAGAGCAGCGAGGAATTGGGAAAAAAAAAAAAGGGGGGGGAAAGGAAAAAAACCCCTCCCCGAGCAGGCAGCCCAATCGGCGGGAGAGGCTCGTGTGTGTTTGGCCTTTCCTCATGACGTAGTGTCCTGTGCCTCTCCCCCCCTCTCCCTCTCCTTTTCCCCTCCCTCCTCACCCCCCCCTCCCCTTCCCCTCGCATCCTTGGAAGCAACAATTAAGCAGCTCTGGGATAAAACACACAGCCCGCGGGAGCACTGGGGCATTGCTTCAAGAGATGGCAAGGCAGGCAGCTGCACCCCTCCTCCCCGGAGTCCTCCTCCTGCTCTCCATCCTCCCGGCTACTCAGCAAGGAGGTAAGGAACGAAATCCTCCTTCCCGTACCCGGCCAGCGCTTCGCTCCGGCTCTTCGGAGCGGGCAGCGGGGCTGCGGCACCCGCATCCTCCGGGCACCCCCGAGCGGGGACAGTCACCCGCCTTGCCCTGCCTTGGGGACATCCCCGAGGGTGGGCGGGCAGGCCCCCGCTGCCACCTCCGCCGAGGGCTCCGTGCTCCCCGAACCGCCGGGAGGTTTGTGCCGTGCCCGGCTGGGGTGGGATGTCACCGAGGGTGGTGACACGGGGCAGTCGGTGACGGCACCGCTGCGCCAAGCGCTTGTCAGGGGGAGGCTGCGAGGGGTGTCCTGGCGAGAAGCTTGGGGACACGAGAGGTTTGGGGACACGAGAGGCTTGGGGACATGAGAGGCTTGGGGACACGAAAGGCTAAGGAACACTCAGGCAGAACATCAGGGGTGGCCACCAAACTCCCGCTTAAAAGTGCGACTTAAGTGGGCTTAGAAGTGCTTGGCCCGGGGGCAGTGGCAGCTGTCACCCCGCGGTGCGATGGCAGCGGGAGCCGATGGCAGCGGGACCGGGGGCGGTGGGTGGCTGGCAGCAGCCGCTGCTCGGTGTGTGGCCGTGACAGCCCCGGGGCTGCTGCAGCTGCGGAGCTCGACCCACCCGAACCGCAGGCTGGGGGTGCCGGAGGCCCCTCACACCGCCCTCACTGCCCTTGTGCCACCAGCGTCGGGTCCCTGCGGCCCCAGGCTGTGTGACAGGCCAGCCCGGCAGGTGCGACACCCCGGGCCGGGAGGGGACAGCCAGCGCAGGGCTCTGGGTCCCGGCTGTGTCACCCCCGGCCACCGCAGCCGCTGCCTGCCCGGGACCGGCCCTGTCTCGGGGTCACACTGCGGGCTGAGCTCCCACCCAGGCGGGGCGAGCAGCACAGATTCATCCGCCAAACCGGGCAGAGGGCTCTGAGGAGCCGACAGCACCGCCAGGGAGGGACAGTCACCTCCGGAGAGCCGGGGGCTGTGCCAGGGAGAGCGTGTGATGGGCACAGCCACCATCGGCCACGGGGTCCGTGCCGGGGCTTGTCGGACAGAGAGGATTGAGGACCAGAGGACGAGAGGGGGAGGGACACCGTGGAGGGCTGGGTGGGCACCGTCTGGGCCACCTGTCCCCAAGGGCAGAGCCCTCAGCAGCTCCATCTGCAGCTCACGGGACCCCGAGCCAGGGCTGGCTGCGTGGGCAGTGGGACCCCAGAGCCGGGAGCTGCCTGGGAGCTGCTTGGATTGTCGGTGCCTAACCCTGCTCAGGGTGCTGGCTGGGATGTGCTCAGTCCCGGGCACTGTCCATCTCTGGCAGTGAGGGAGATGTGGCTTGCTGATCCAGGCTGCCTTTGCTCTGACCCTGCGAGCTGTGGCCAGCTGGGACAGTCTCTGGAGGACTTTGGAGCCCAGGTGAGACCCTGCTGCAGTTCCCGAGCAGTTCAGTTCAGCTGACCCCACTTCAGACCCCGGCTCAGTCCCCAGGGGTGCTCGCTGGTTGGGAAGCAGCTCCCAGAGGAGGTGACCTGACCCTAGAGATGGTCCCAGTGCTGGTGGGACACAGGGGAAGGCTCTCCCATGACTGGGCAGTGTCTCTGCAGCCTGGTGTGTCAGCCCTGCTCCTGGCACAGCAGCTCTCAGGAACAGAGCTGGCACAGAGGCACGGTGACATGCTGAGAGGGGATCCCAGGGGCTGGACACGGTCAGGGCCGTGTCCTCCAGCACCGGCTGCCAGTGCAGCTCCAAATCAGCCTGGCAGGAGAGGGAACCCTGAGATATTCCAGGGCTGAGGGGCTCATACCCAGACTGTCACCTCAGAGCAAGGGGCTGAGCTGGCAGCACTGAGGACAGCCCCAGCAGCAGGTGGGGATCAGTTCCAGGGGATCAGTCCTGGGGAGCAGAGCTGTGCTGGCACTGTGGGGACCTGCACAGCAGGACACAGGACACTGCAGGGGGAAAGTGCCGTGATTCCCTGAATGTGCCGAGTGCCGCCTATCCCAGCAGCTGGAGCAGGGCATCCATCCCTCAGTGCTTCCATCCATCCATCATCCATCCATCCATCCATCATCCATCCATCCTCCATCCATCCATCCATCATCCATCCATCCTCCATCCATCCATCCATCATCCATCCATCCTCCATCCATCCATCCATCATCCATCCATCCTCCATCCATCCATCCATCATCCATCCATCCTCCATCCATCCATCCATCATCCATCCATCCTCCATCCATCCATCCATCATCCATCCATCCTCCATCCATCCATCCATCATCCATCCATCCTCCATCCATCCATCCATCATCCATCCATCCTCCATCCATCCATCCATCATCCATCCATCCTCCATCCATCCATCCATCATCCATCCATCCTCCATCCATCCATCCATCATCCATCCATCCTCCATCCATCCATCCATCATCCATCCATCCTCCATCCATCCATCCATCATCCATCCATCCTCCATCCATCCATCCATCATCCATCCATCCTCCATCCATCCATCCATCATCCATCCATCCTCCATCCATCCATCCATCATCCATCCATCCTCCATCCATCCATCCATCATCCATCCATCCTCCATCCATCCATCCATCATCCATCCATCCTCCATCCATCCATCCATCATCCATCCATCCTCCATCCATCCATCCATCATCCATCCATCCTCCATCCATCCATCCATCATCCATCCATCCTCCATCCATCCATCCATCATCCATCCATCCTCCATCCATCCATCCATCATCCATCCATCCTCCATCCATCCATCCATCATCCATCCATCCTCCATCCATCCATCCATCATCCATCCATCCTCCATCCATCCATCCATCATCCATCCATCCTCCATCCATCCATCCATCATCCATCCATCCTCCATCCATCCATCCATCATCCATCCATCCTCCATCCATCCATCCATCATCCATCCATCCTCCATCCATCCATCCATCATCCATCCATCCTCCATCCATCCATCCATCATCCATCCATCCTCCATCCATCCATCCATCATCCATCCATCCTCCATCCATCCATCCATCATCCATCCATCCTCCATCCATCCATCCATCATCCATCCATCCTCCATCCATCCATCCATCATCCATCCATCCTCCATCCATCCATCCATCATCCATCCATCCTCCATCCATCCATCCATCATCCATCCATCCTCCATCCATCCATCCATCATCCATCCATCCTCCATCCATCCATCCATCATCCATCCATCCTCCATCCATCCATCCATCATCCATCCATCCTCCATCCATCCATCCATCATCCATCCATCCTCCATCCATCCATCCATCATCCATCCATCCTCCATCCATCCATCCATCATCCATCCATCCTCCATCCATCCATCCATCCATCATCCATCATCCATCCATCCATCCATCCATCCCTCAGTGCTTCCCGTGTGGAGCACAGGGGATCCCCCGGCAGTGACACCCCCAGGAGGGACAAGGGGGACAGCGGGGAGGTGCCAGCCTTGCAGGCTCTCGGGAGCAGCTCAGGTGAGTGCTCAGCAGGCACTGGGTGTGCTGGCACCCAGCCTGGGGCTGTGGGGACCCTCCGAGGACAGCCGGGGTCCCCAGGGTGAGGCTGGGATGGCATCTCCCCTTCCCAGCTGGAGCCTGGCCTGCCAGGGCTGCTCCCTCCCCTCACCACTGACAGGGTGCAGCTCGTCCTCCAGCGCTCAGAGATGAAAGCTGGAGCTTCAGGGGGGCTGGAGAGGAGCCAGGCCCCAGCAGCAGCCCCCCCGCTCCCCCCGAGCTGCTACCAGTGAGCTCGGCCCAGGACGCATCACAGCTTCAAAGTCGCTTGGAGACTGAATGTTTCCATAACTTTCTCGCAAGGAAAAGAAAACAGCGCGAGGAGGGAAGAGGGGAAGCGGTGGTGGTTTCACAGCGGGGCTCCTCCGGGAGCGGGTGCCCACGGGCGCACAGAGCGGTGAGTTATCAGGCTGTCCTGTGGTGGATTCTCCATCCCGGTCTCGGTTTCAAAACCTGTGGAACAGAGAAATCCTGTGCATTTCTGGCTTGTGAAGGGAGCTGCAGGAGGTGGTGCAGATAGAAATGGTGCAGCCGATCCGAACGGGATCGGAAGCAGCTCTGGCAGCGGAGCAGCATGGATATCCACACCTGTGGATGGAGCTGTGGGGGGAGAATGTCCCAGTCCCATAAACAAGGGGACTCCACACAGATCGTGAGCACCTCCGTGGCTCACACCCTGACACAGCTGGGGCTGCACGAGTGGCTGCAAATTCCCTGGCCCCCGGATTGAGGAGCCATCCCTGGGGTGGGATGCAGGCTCACAGCCCAGGAGACAGGCTGGGAGCCCAGGAAAATCCCCTTCCCAGGGTCCTGGCAGGCTCAGAGCAGAGGCAGCACAGAGCTCCCTCAGCGCTGGGAAGCTGCTGACTCAGTCTCCCCTTCCCTGATGTGCCAAGGGAATGGGTGGAGAGGACAAATTGGAGCACACAGACCCCAAAGTGAGCTGGGGGCTGCTGGCCCTGGGCAAGGACAGAGGTGGCCAGAGAGCCATGGCCAGAGCCCAGTGTGGTCACGCTGTCACCAGTGTGTGGGCTGTCACCGACACCTGTGCTGTACAGGGGGAGGGACTGGAGATGTTGGGGGATCTGGAGAGAGCCCCTGGCAGTGCCTGCAGCAGGGAACAGCCCTGAGCCGGGCTCTGGGGGAGCAGCTTGTGAGGGAGCAGCCAGGGCAGTGCGGATCCAGCTGTGCCTGGCAGCAGAGCTGGTCAGGAAGGGCTCTGGAGGGAAAGGTTTGTCCCCACAAAGCCACTTGGCACCAGCACCCAGTCACCCACCCCACTGCCTCCAGGCCATCCCTCCTCCTGCCAGGCCTTGCTGCCCTCCCCGACCTGGGCAAGGCAGGTAGGACAGCACAGCCTTGCAACCCTCCCAAATGTGTCCAGAGCTCGCTCTCTGGGATGGTGCCTGGGGAGGGGGCAGTGACAGTGTCACCACAGAGGAACCCCCCTGGCAGGACCCTCAGTGCCCCGGGAGGCTGGTGATGATGATAAAGGGCTGAGTTTGGCAGCTGTGGCTGTGGGCAGGTGACACCTGGACATTTCTGTGCTCCCCACACTGCAGGGAGAAATCCTTGTCCCAGCTTCCCTGGGAGTCTCCATCAGGCAGCACTGGCACAGGTGACAGAGGGGTAGAGGAGGTCAGTCTGGGTCCCCATTGTCACCCCAGCACCAGGACCTTGCCTGCTTTTGGGGCACTGAGGCTGGTGGGTGTGACGGGGGCTGAGCACCCCCTCCGGGGTGGGGACAGTCCCTGTCTGTGCCACGGGGGTCCCTGGCCGTGCCTGGACTGGCTCCCCGACGCACAGGGAGGGCTGGAGGTGTGCGGACACTTGGAGATTGTTTGGAAACAAGGCAGGAGTTGGAGCTGTGTTTATCCTGGGGGGATGGTGTGGGTGGGGAATGTGCCGGGAAAAGGAGCCATTCTGTCACCCCCTAGCTGGGAAAAGGAGCTGCTCCTGAACCCCCTGGCCAGGGGCCAGAGGCCTGAGCACGTGTCCCCTCCTGTCCAAGGGACACTGGAGGAACCTCGGGAGGGGATGCAGGGGGCACAGGCCTGGCCCCACTCTCTGGGGCTGTGTGATGGGTCCTGGCACGGCTCCTGCCACTGAGTGTCCCAACACCTCCTGTGCACGCACAGCCCTGCAGCCGTCACACACCGCTGTGTCCTGCTGCCTCCCGGGGGCACTGGCCATCTCACATCTCTGACTGTGGACACGATTCTCTGACCCTGAGACAGTTTCAGCCTCTCAGGGGCTCATCTGTTCCCAGGGGGAAAGTTCCTGGGAACAGTTTCCTCTCCAGGATTGTGTCATTGTAAATAGATAATATTTCTCAAAACAATACTGGACACACGTTCTTGGTGTGTTTTCTCTGGCCCCACCAATGGGACCAAAGGGGGTCTTGTTCCTTCTACCAATCAGGGTAACCTGGTCAGAGGATCTTTATAAGGGCTGAGAAAATCCTGAAATGAAAGCTTTTCTTTGCCTCAGGAAGCAGCTGTGTGCGTGTCAGGTGAAGAGCCCTCAATGCATCGTGTCCATCAGAGACATCTGGCACCCAGTGTGGGGCACCAGAAACCGGCTGGGGATGGACAGGGACAGCCCCACAGTGGTGGCCGTGCCTGGACCCACCCCCGGTGCAGCTGGAGGTGATGGAGCAGCCCTGGCTGTGGGATGGGGCAGGAGCCGGGAAGCAGAGCTGGACAGCAGCCAGCCCCATGTCCCTCCCTCCTTCCCACGCGGGGCCAGGTCCTGCTGACTCCTCCTCCGAGGTGCCACGCCTGGGTGCCAGCTGGGGCACCTCTGAGCCCTGTCCCCCTGTCCCCCTGGGCAAGCAGGAATGCAAGGAAAGGCAGGGACCTGCCCTGGAGCTCCACATCCCAGCTCCTCTGCAGGGAGCAGCAGGAGGAACGCCCTGCCCCCCTGCCTCGGGCCTCTGGGGGATTTAACCAGGGTCTCTTCTCTTGCAGGGGTTCCTGGTGCTATCCCGGGAGGGGGAGTCCCAGGAGGAGGCTTTTTCCCAGGTAAGGGGACATCACCCTGTCTGCAAGGATGGGCAGGTGCCTGGGGGTTCCTTTGAGACACCAGGGAAGGCTGGGGACCTGCCAGCCAGGATCAGGTGACATGGGGACACCCTGCCTGGCTGCTGAGCATGGACTCAGCCTCAGCCCCACGGCGTGGGGACACGACTGGGTGCCAGTGCCAGGCTTACCCAGCCCTGGCCACAGGAGGTGCTCAGAGGTCACAGCCTGTCCCCAGAGCTTCAGCCAAAACCCTGGGGACATCCCAGGGGGGTTCCCATCCTCTGAGACCCGTGTGAGTCTCCCCAGGGACCCCGGGAGCCTGTGTGGGTGCTGGGTGCCCCCGGGAGCAGAGCTCACACTGTGCCCTTGCTCGCAGGTGCTGGAGTTGGAGGTTTGGGAGCAGGTGAGTGCTGGGAACCCTGCCAGGCTGTGCTGGGCTGGGGAGAGGGGCAGGATGCCCAGCAGATCTGCCTTGTTTGGGCAGGGGGGCTGCCACGAGGCTGGCCCTGTCCCACGTGTCCCCCTGCCCGGGGATGCTCAGAGGGAGGATGGCTCTGACCCCTCTCCTCTCCCCTAGGACTCGGGGCTGCAGGAAAACCTCCCAAACCAGGTAAGAGCTTTTCCTGGCTCTCACCACCTCCAAGCACGCCAGTGGCCGGGATATTTTCCAACCACTGCTGCCCTCAGGCTGCTCCCCCGCTGGCCAAGGCACACCCAGCGCTGCCCTGCCACACTAATCCTGCCACAGCCTCCACAGGACCCCCTCCCCTGCCCCGCTTCGGCGCTGTCCTCTACCCCCAGTCCCCCCAAACCACCCTTTGGGGGTGCTTGCTGCCTGTAAAGCTGTGCCAGATCTGCTGGAGGAGACGCAAAGCCGGGAGCCAGTGTCCCGCTGGGAAGCTGGCAGCGCCTCCAGCTGCCTGCCATCGGGGCCAAGCAGCTTTTGCAGAGGCTCCTGCAGCCCACGCTGGGCTTTGCCTGGCCCAGGAGCGCTGGGGAGAGGGGACACCAGCGGCAGAGAGGGAGGATGCTGGCAGGAGGATGCACAGCTGGAGAAGGCACAGCTGGAGGGCACCGAGCCTGGGGCAGCAGGGACTGAATGTGCCTCTTCTGGGGCCAAGAGAAATGATGGAATCACAGAATGGCCTGAGTGGGAAGGGACCTTGAAACTCCTTCAGTTCCACCCCCTGCCATGGCAGGGACACCTCCCACTGCTGCTCCCAGCCCTGTCCAGCCTCAAGGGCACTGCCAGCGATCCAGGGGCAGCCCCAGCTGCTCTGGACACCCTGTGCCAGGGCCTGCCCACCTCCAGAGCAGAGAATTTCCTCCTAACATTGAGTCCAAATCTCTCCTCTTTGGTTCAAAGCCCTGCTCCTTGTCCTGGCACCCTCTGCACTGCTGATCCCCATGGAGAGGTGCTGGGGTCCCGCCGCGCCCAGGGCAGGGACACCCCACACCTCCGGCCCCCTGAGCCGCAGTGGGAGCCGCAGCCCGAGCTGGGGCCGGCAGCCTCCGTTTGCTCAGATTTCAGCTCGTGGAAAGAAAAACAAGGCCCTTTATTTCGGCATAATTAAAACCAAACGCGGGGCGGCCCAGCCAGAGCAGTGTCCGCGCCCAGAGCCAGCAGCACTGGAATTTGCGCCTGGAGGGAGCGAGGGCTGATGAGCCCCAGATGTTGGAAGGCAGCGCTGGCCAGAGAGCGAGGGACTCATTCCTCAGCCATAAACATTCTGCTCCCGTCCCCTTGTGGCCCGGCAGGGTGGGAGGTGTGTGAGGCACGGGGGACAGGAGGGAGGACCCAAGTGCTGGCAAGGACATTTGTCCCCCATCCCTGTGGCCGTCCCTGGGCTGTTCTCCCGTCCCCACGGTGCCACAGGGACTCCTCTGTCCCTCCGGGCCTGGCCACCCCCACCTCACCCCGCTTCTCTTTCTATAGGGCTCGGAGGACTTGGGGGACTCGGCCCCCTTGGCCTGCAGCCAGGTGAGCACTGACCACTGTCCCCCCGGCTCCAGGTGATGTCCCCAGAGAGCCACCCTGGGGACAGCACACCCCTCGTCCTCATCTCCACAGCTCTCCAGGGTGTGCTGGGTGGCTCCCACCTGGGCTGGGTGCCCTTCCCAGACCTGAGGGACCGCAGACACCCAACAGGCAGGATTACATCTCCCACAGTGGGGTGACCCTGCAGGAGAGGAGGCCCCCGGGGTCCCTGCAGGGCCGGCAGCAGAGGGGCAGTGATGCAGGGGGTCAGCCAGGAGCTCCAGGGGTGTCAGGTGTTGTGTGTGCCAGGTGGGATGTGGATGGGAGCACCAGTTTGGGGGACGGACAGGGCAGAGCCTGCTCACACCGCCTCGCCCAGCCTAACGCCAGCCCCCACCGCTCAGCACCCCGTGCCCACCGCCAGGGCAGGACACCCGGGCTCCAGGGGTTTTTAGGGATGCTGATGCTGGTTGTTCTCCCCACAGGTGCTGCGGGTCTGTTCCCCGGAGCTGGCTTCCCCGGGGGTGCGTTCCCCGGAGCCGCCTCGGCCGCGGCGCTCAAGGCTGCTGCAAAAGCTGGTGAGTGCTGGGGGGGTCTGGGCAAGGTGGGCCCGGGGCAGCCCCCAGGGACCCCCGGTGTCCCCTGGGTGTCTGGGCCAGGACACATTTCCCGGGGCTGCAGGCAGGAGCTGATGCTGTCACCCGGCTCCCCAGTGACTCGGGGGGACCCTGGCACGGGGGAATCGGCCAGAGCCGAGTCCCCAGGAGCAGAGAGCAGAGAGCTGCCCGGTCCCTGTGCCCAGTATGGGGGACCTGCTCTGCCTCAGGGTGTCACCCCCCAAGGGCCATCCTGAGCTTGTCCCTTCTCTGTGGCCCTGGTACACCCCTCTTCCCAACGCCCCCAGGTGCTGGCATTGGAGGCGTGGGTGGAATTGGTGGTCCCGGTGGCCTCGGGGTCTCCACAGGTAGGAAATGCCCCTCGCTCCCGGCAGAGCTGTCCCTGGGGTGGGCAGGAGCCGGGCAGGGCTCAGGGGTCTCTGCTGCCCGCAGGTGCCGTGGTGCCGGGCGCGGTGCAGCCCGGCCTGGGTGCCGCAGGGAAACCCCCTAAAATACCAGGTAGGTGACGGCCCCGCAGGCAGGGCCGGGGCGGGGAGCGGCTCCATCTGACCCCTCATCCCTGAATTTCTTTTGCCTGCAGGTGCTGGGATTCCTGGAGCTTTTCCGGGCGGCGTGCTCCCTGGCGCAGGTGAGCTGGGGGTGCCCACCCCACTGTCAGCACCCCAACCTTTGAAGAGGATCCCAACCTTGCCAGCAGCACCCCAACTCCGAGGGGATCCAAACCTTGCCAGTAGCACCCCAACTCCGAGGGGGTCCCCACCCCACTGACAGGACCCCAACCTCCGAGGGGTCCCTATCCCATGCCAGCACCCCCCGTGGGGAGAGCACCCTGCCCTGCCTCCCGCTGCTCCCTGCAGCTTCCAAACCCCTTGGCTGAGGTGACAGTGACATTTCCACCGTGCCAGAGGCATGGGGGGACCCGGCACCTCCATCCCGTGCCAAGCCTGGCGGGAGCAGACAGCACCAGCACTGGGAGAGGAGCTGGCACAGCTGCCAGGGCTGGCGGTGTGGGAAGGAAGGGGAGGAGGTGGCGGGAGAGAGGAATTCCTCAGTGCAAAGTAATTTGGGGGAGGAAAACTTGTGAAAACAAGATGTTTCGACACTGTCCGAAGTGTGTTGCTGGTCAGGAATGTCTTTTCCATGTCTGAAAATGCTCCAGTTATAATGAAAGACATTTGTAAGAGGGGAAAAAGAACCCCAAACCAAAAGGAAATTCAAAACCCAAAAATCCAACCCAAACGACTGCAAGGCCAAAACACTGTCTGCCACCCCTGAGGGCTGGAGAGCCCTGTCTGGCCCCAGGCCACCGAGCATCACCGGGGCACAGAGCACTGGCCAGGCCTGGCTGGAGCTTTGCTGTCACCAAACCCCTCCTGAGTGTTCCCTGCAGCTCCCAGTCTGTTCCACAGGCAGCTCCAGGCCTGGAGCAAACCCCTCCTGGCAGCTCCAGGTGGAGGCAGCTGGCACAGGGTGGTCCCAACAAGCCCCCGAGGATGAGGGTGACGAGAGATGGGGGACAGGGGTTTGGAAGCTGGGTGTGGGGGTCTTGGGTGCCAGTAACATCCCGAGGCCCCAGCTCACCCCTCTGGTCTGTGCTCCAGGTGTTCGCTTCCCTGGCGTAGGGGTGCTGCCTGGAGTCCCCACTGGAGCTGGAGTCAAGCCTAAAGCCCCAGGTAGGTTCCCTCAATCCTCTTGGAACTCTGGGGTGGGTTCAGGGCTGGCTCCAGCTCGGCACCCCAGCCCATCCCTTGGGATCACAGCCCTACAGGACACTTGGCCGTCCTAAGGCTGAATTCACTTGGGTTAATTTGGGCCTCCAGGAGCAGCCCAGGGCTCACACAGTTGTCTTTGTGTTTCATTTTAGGAGCTGGAGCCTTTGGAGGAATCCCTGGTGAGTGTCCCGTCTCTCTTGCCTGTCTTTCTCTTCCTTCCCAAGCCTGTTCCTCACAGCTGTGGTCTCCCCACACCAGAAGATGCCTCAGGGCTTCCCAAGCCCCCCACTCTGCTCTGCTGGGGTGCCCTGGGGCGCTCCCCTCCCTCCAGGACTGGTGGCAGCCGTGGCGCGGGCTCCAGGTGAGAGTCTGCTGTTGGTTTGCAGGACTGGGAGGTTTTGGAGGTCAGCAGCCTGGTGTCCCTCTGGGGTATCCCATCAAAGCTCCTAAGCTGCCAGGTAAGCTCCACAGCCAGCAGTGGCCTCACTGCGGGTGCAGGATCCCCAGCAGAGGCAGGAGAAGGACCCGCCGTGCCCCGGGGCTGAGGTACGGTGCCCACAGGTCCCCAGGACCTGTGCTGGCCCTGGGCCAGCAGGACAGAGCCAGGGGCTCTGCTGTGCCCTGCCTGGGGCAGCTGCTGGGCTGCTGCAGCTGCTCCTGCCCCCAGGACATGAGGACGGTGCTGTGCCTCGCTCCTGCTGTTGTAAGGTAGGAAGGGACATGTTCTGGGGACACGCTCTCACCAGGCCACCCTGGGATGTCCCTGCTGGCTCAAGGCACAGTCCTTGCAAGGGAGAGTGTGGCTCCTGGGCTTGGGCATTCACCTGGGCCAGGTGTCCTGGCTCAAGGAGCTGTAGCTGAGGCCACCTGGGGGCTTCAGGCAGGTGTCCCTCCCCACTGCCCACCTGGATGGGGCTCAGCCCCAGCCCAGGTCAGCCTGGGGGAGCTCAGCACCTCTTTCCCAGCCTGGGCTGCTCTGGACACCTTCCCCTGCCAGCCCTGGGCCGGGTGCCAGCTCTGCCTGTCCCTGGGCAGATAGTGGCAGGGACAGTGGCAGGTTCTGTGCCCTCCAGGGGCCATGCTGCCACCTCAGTGCATGCTGAGGAGGGGGGCAGCCACATCTGGGCAGGGCCCCCATCCCTGGGGAGCTGGGCAGTGCACGGGAGATCTGTGGGCATTTCCCCATGCACCCAAACAAGTTGCTGGAGGCAGGAGAGCCTCGGTGGGAGAAGCCCCTCCCAGGCAGGACATCCCAGCCCAGCTCCAGCCCCAGCAGCTCTGCTGGCTTCCCCCCAGCAGGGCCCGTGGCAGGGATCCCCAGCTCGCTCTGGTTTCCTGCACTGGAGCAGAGTTATGATCTCTGTGGGGACCTGCCCCTGCTGCCAGCACACCCTGACTGGGTCCTGGCCCCAGGACAGGGACCAGGACAGTGGGGGTGTCTCCAGACCTTCCTGGGGTGCTGGAGGATGCCAGTTTGTCACCTCTGGGGGCTCGGGGCTGGCAGTGCAAGGACAGACTGTGCTGCTGGCTGTGGAGGCTCTTCTCTTGGTGCTGCAGGTGGATCTGGGGCTGTCACACGTGGGGTGTCCCCTGCACTGGCCCTGCTGCAGTAGATCCAGGCTGGGAGGGGATGAGGGGACAGTGGGACAAATAACATTTTCAGTGGAAAGCCATCTCTTTAGATGCTCCTGTGCTGTCCCCAGTCAGGAGGTGGCCCTGAGGTAATCCACCTCGCTGAGGCTGAAGCTGTGGCTGAGGTCAGGGTCCCACTGATGCCGCAGGGATGGGGACCCCTCCCCAGTGTCCAGCTGTGCCCGGGTGACGTCGGTCTGTGCAGAGCCCTTGCAGTGTGTGCCTCGGCCTGAGCCCCCCCGGCAGTTCTGCTGACATTCCCATGGGCACAGCCCCAGGGCAGGGGCTGCCTTCCCATCCTGGTGGTGGGGAGCTGGACTTGGACCCGGCAAAACCCTTGGAGACCCCAGGCTTGGACTTCTGGCCCTTGGAGTCACCTCCATGTGTGTCACCCCTTTCTCAGCTTTAGGGTGAGCAAGGTGCTGATAAGGTGCCCCTGGATGGGAAAGGGTGGCCCTCAAGGTGAGGGACACCTGGCACAGCTCACCAGCCTCTGCTCACCAGCACCAGTGTGCTGCTGTGGGACACCGTGGGACACCCGGCAGGATGGAGGGGAATCTGGTCCCCACATGCTGGCTGCTGGGAGGGGATGGTGTCCGGTGCTGAGGAGATGCTGTGCCATGAGTAATTGTGTCCTGGCTGCAGGCAGCCACATCCCTGCCCACGGCCCCCTTGCTGGAGGCACTCTGCACCCCGCCTGCAGCTCGAGGTGTTCCCCCCGGGATGTGGCAGCCCATGGCCCGGGCTGCTGGCAGCAGTGATGGCAGCTGGGAGCTGCTGGCTGCCAAGCCCACGGTCCCTGCTGGGCCAGGGGCATCCCTGCTCCATTCCCAGCGCTGGGATCCGGCTCTTTCCAAAGGAGACATTTCCCTGGCCGTGATGTTCCAGCTCATAATCCCTCCCCATCCCTTCGCACTGACCTCCTAATGAGATTGTGTTTCAGCCCAGGCTCCCAAGCCCTGATTCCAATTAAATCCTTTCCTTCGGAGCTGGCCAGGGTGCAGTGGGCTGGGTACAGCTCTTGCTGTGCAGCTCCCGAGGGACCCCTCTGGAACGGGGTCATGGGAGGCTCCTGCAGAACCAGCTTCAGGCGCCACAGCCCTCGGCCAGGGCTCAGAGGGGGTGGCTCTTTCAGTCACTGCTTCCAAGGTGAGGGAGAACAGCATCTCAGGGCCCAGCTCCACCACGGGGGTTTGTATCCTGGAGGATTCACTGTCACGATGGACCGAGCCCCTGGGCTGGGGCACAGCCCTGGCAGAGCGGGGCCATGCCGTGGGGCAGAGGGGACAGGGCCAGCAGCAGCCAGGTGCTAACCCCTCCTTCTCTCCTCTCATCCCCAGGTGGCTATGGACTGCCCTACACCAATGGTAAGCTGCCCTGTGGTGAGTGCTCTTGTCCCCACTCCTTGTGGCTCCGCTGGCTGCCACCGTCACCCCGTAGCCACCGACCCTCAGGGTGGTGTGAGGGATATCCTGCTCCCAGGGTGAGGTGCTCCCTTGGGGACCTCGTGCCTTGCCCATGGTGGCTGTGGACCAGCCTGGGAACTCAGCCCTCCCGGCATCCCTGGGAGCTGGTAATCCATAGGATACATCCTGAGCCACGCCAGCTCCACACAGGGATGTTTGACCTGGGATCTCGAGTGGGGAGGAGCTGCCTTTGGCATCCCCCCGCATCCTCTGGCGCCAGGGGAAGGAGATCCAAGGGAGCCGCTCCGTCTGTCTCGTGTCCTCCCCCTGGCCGGTGCCTGACCTGGCTCTGCCCTGTGTTGTGATTGCAGGCCTCAGGCCCGGCGGGATAGGAGCCGGGCTCCTGGCAGGAAAGGCAGGATACCCCACCGGGACAGGTACACGGCGACCCCACAGCCCCAGGGTGGGGACTGGACGGGCGTGATAGGGGACCCTGCCACCTTGCTGGCCCCTGTCCGGCTGTCTGGGGACTGCAGGGGACACTTCCCACAGGAGAGGGGGACAGGTGCTGGCAGGAGTGCCCGGGGTCCCTGTGGGGTGGGGGAGCTGAGGTGGGAATGGTCTCGGTGCCTCAGTGCCTCAGGGCCCGTGTCCCTCCACAGGCGTCGGAGCACAGGCGGCAGCAGCGAAGGCAGCAGCAAAACTCGGTGAGTTGCCCTGGGTGGCACAAATAGCACCCATCTCCCCAGCAGGGAGCTGCTCCCTCCCTCCCTCCCAGCCCCGGGAATGCTGGCTGTGTCCCCGTGTCCCCGTGTCCCCACACATCGGCTGACAGAGCTGTTCCCTGCGGCAGGAGCCGGTCTCCTGCCAGGGGTCGGTGGCATCCCGGGAGTCGCGCCCGGTGTTGGCGTCGGCGGAGTCCCAGGAGTTGGAGGTGAGGCGATGAGAGGGCTCTGCCCTGGGGCTCGGGGAGGGTCTCGTTCCCTTATCCCTTATCCCTTATCCTGACTCTGCCCTGGGGCTCGGGGAGGGTCTCGTTCCCTTATCCCGCATCCCTTATCCTGACTCTGCCCTGCTGTCCCGGCAGTTGGAGGACCGGCAGCGGCGGCAGCGGCGGCAAAGGCAGCGGCAAAGGCAGGAGCTTTCGGTGAGCTCCTGCTGCCCCGGATCATCTCTTGGGTCGGGGAAGAGCCGTGCATCGACACCAGGGGCTGTGTGGCTCCACAGCTGCCCCAGCAGCCCCTGGCCCATCCTCTGGGGTGCTCTCCCTGCCCCCTGCCCCGGCTCCAGGAGCTTTCCCAGTAGTGATGAGGGGCTGAGGGGCCCCTGGGGACGCAGCAGCTGGGATGGGGCGCAGCATGCCCATCACACGCGGTGTCTCCAGGAGGTGTGGGTTTGCCAGATGCCAGCAGGGTGACCAGGGATACGGGGTCTGTGCTGAGCTGTCCTTCCCTACTGAGGGATGCTCCTGGTAATGCAGATCTCCACCTCTCTCCTCCTTGGCTCTTCTGTGGGAGAAAAGTGAGGAGCAAATCACACCCTGGAGAATTCAGGGAAAACGTGCCAGCTCTGGGGCAGCAGGGATGTACAGCCACAGACTGGGGGACACTGGAAGTCCCAAACATCCTGGGTGGCCAAGCCCCTGATGGGTGCAGGGAGCTGAGAATCAAATTCTCGGGTGCATCCCAGGGTCCCAAAGAAGCTGCTTTAGGATGAGTGCGGAGCCCACCACAAAGCCAGTGCCCAAGAGACTCCTGTGACCCTGGGCAGACCGTGTGCCCACGGGTGCCAGAGTGGGGTGTTTGTGGGGTGTCTGACTACTCTGCTTCCCTCCAGGTCCAGGGGCCGTGCCCGGAGTCGGAGGTGTCCCTGGCTTGGTACCTGGTGTTGGAGGTGTCCCCGGGGCGGTGCCTGGTGTTGGAGGTGTCCCCGGGGTGGCAGGTGACTGTTCCAGGAGCCCTGTCCCCATGGCCCGGCTCTGTGGGGCCATGGTGGCTGAAGGTCCCTGTCTCCCTTGTCCCCAGGGGTGCCATCGGCAGCAGCAGCAGCAAAGGCAGCTAAGTATGGTACGTGCTGTGTGGGGCCCCAGCCCTGGGACCCCTCCCCACCCTGACACACTGGGGGGGCACGGGGTGTCCCCTGGGGGGGACTGGGGAATGCTCAGCCCAGCTCCTGCCTCTCCCAGCTGGGCCTGGCTCCATCTCCAGGGCAGGACCTTCTCCCTCTCTGGGGTTTCTCCAGGCTGTCTTGTGGAAGTGACCATTGAGCCCCAATTCATGGCTTTGGACTCATCTGAATTCTCTGCTGGGGTCTCTCCTGGATGAGGCTGTGGATGCTCTGCTCTCCTGGGCACAATGACGAGATGGAGCCTTGGCAGGTCCCACCTTTGAGCTCCTGCTGCAGCCAGCTCTGATTTGTCCCCTCTTGTTCCCACAGGCGCCGGCGTTCCCGGTGTCGGTGTGGGCGGTGTCCCCGGCCTGGTGCCCGGAGTCGGAGGTGTCCCTGGCTTGGTACCTGGTGTTGGAGGTGTCCCCGGGGCGGTGCCTGGTGTTGGAGGTGTCCCTGGGGTGGCAGGTGACTGTTCCAGGAGCCCTGTCCCCATGGCCCGGCTCTGTGGGGCCATGGTGGCTGAAGGTCCCTGTCTCCCTTGTCCCCAGGGGTGCCATCGGCAGCAGCAGCAGCAAAGGCAGCTAAGTATGGTACGTGCTGTGTGGGGCCCCAGCCCTGGGACCCCTGCCCACCCTGACACACTGGGGGGGCACGGGGTGTCCCTGGATCACTCCTGAGGGGGACTGGGGAATGCTCAGCCCAGCTCCTGTTTGCTCCCAGCTGGGCCTGGCTCCATCTCCAAGGCAGGACCTTCTCCCTCTCTGGGGTTTCTCCAGGCTGTCTTGTGGAAGTGACCATTGAGCCCCACCTGATGTCTTTAGATTTAACTGGATTCATGGATTTTGTACCAAATCCATTTCTGGCAGCTGATCTGTTGCAGGATCTGGTTCCCAAGGACTCGACGCTGCTGGCATTAGGGCAGAGATTCCTGGAAGAGGGGCCCTGCCCAGGGTCACCATCCTCCAAAAACTTGCTGGGCTTCAGAAGCACATGCAACTGGATCCATCAATCCCTGTCCTGCCCCGCTGGGGTCTCTCCTGGATGAGGCTGTGGATGCTCTGCTCTCCTGGGCACAATGACGAGATGGAGCCTTGGCAGGTCCCACCTTTGAGCTCCTGCTGCAGCCAGCTCTGATTTGTCCCCTCTTGTTCCCACAGGCGCCGGCGTTCCCGGTGTCGGTGTGGGCGGTGTCCCTGGCCTGGTACCTGGTGTTGGAGGTGTCCCTGGCTTGGTACCTGGCGTTGGAGGTGTCCCTGGCTTGGTACCTGGCGTTGGAGGTGTCCCCGGGGCGGTGCCTGGTGTTGGAGGTGTCCCCGGGGTGGCAGGTGACTGTTCCAGGAGCCCTGTCCCCATGGCCCGGCTCTGTGGGGCCATGGTGGCTGAAGGTCCCTGTCTCCCTTGTCCCCAGGGGTGCCATCGGCAGCAGCAGCAGCAAAGGCAGCTAAGTATGGTACGTGCTGTGTGGGGCCCCAGCCCTGGGACCCCTCCCCACCCTGACACACTGGGGGGGCACGGGGTGTCCCCTGGGGGGGACTGGGGAATGCTCAGCCCAGCTCCTGCCTCTCCCAGCTGGGCCTGGCTCCATCTCCAGGGCAGGACCTTCTCCCTCTCTGGGGTTTCTCCAGGCTGTCTTGTGGAAGTGACCATTGAGCCCCAATTCATGGCTTTGGACTCATCTGAATTCTCTGCTGGGGTCTCTCCTGGATGAGGCTGTGGATGCTCTGCTCTCCTGGGCACAATGACGAGATGGAGCCTTGGCAGGTCCCACCTTTGAGCTCCTGCTGCAGCCAGCTCTGATTTGTCCCCTCTTGTTCCCACAGGCGCCGGCGTTCCCGGTGTCGGTGTGGGCGGTGTCCCCGGCCTGGTGCCCGGAGTCGGAGGTGTCCCTGGCTTGGTACCTGGTGTTGGAGGTGTCCCCGGGGCGGTGCCTGGTGTTGGAGGTGTCCCCGGGGTGGCAGGTGACTGTTCCAGGAGCCCTGTCCCCATGGCCCGGCTCTGTGGGGCCATGGTGGCTGAAGGTCCCTGTCTCCCTTGTCCCCAGGGGTGCCATCGGCAGCAGCAGCAGCAAAGGCAGCTAAGTATGGTACGTGCTGTGTGGGGCCCCAGCCCTGGGACCCCTCCCCACCCTGACACACTGGGGGGGCACGGGGTGTCCCCTGGGGGGGACTGGGGAATGCTCAGCCCAGCTCCTGCCTCTCCCAGCTGGGCCTGGCTCCATCTCCAGGGCAGGACCTTCTCCCTCTCTGGGGTTTCTCCAGGCTGTCTTGTGGAAGTGACCATTGAGCCCCAATTCATGGCTTTGGACTCATCTGAATTCTCTGCTGGGGTCTCTCCTGGATGAGGCTGTGGATGCTCTGCTCTCCTGGGCACAATGACGAGATGGAGCCTTGGCAGGTCCCACCTTTGAGCTCCTGCTGCAGCCAGCTCTGATTTGTCCCCTCTTGTTCCCGGCAGGCGCCGGCGTTCCCGGTGTCGGTGTGGGCGGTGTCCCTGGCCTGGTGCCCGGAGTCGGAGGTGTCCCTGGCTTGGTACCTGGTGTTGGAGGTGTCCCTGGCTTGGTACCTGGTGTTGGAGGTGTCCCTGGGGTGGCAGGTGACTGTTCCAGGAGCCCTGTCCCCATGGCCCGGCTCTGTGGGGCCACGGTGGCTGAAGGTCCCTGTCTCCCTTGTCCCCAGGGGTGCCATCGGCAGCAGCAGCAGCAAAGGCAGCTAAGTATGGTACGTGCTGTGTGGGGCCCGCGGTCACTGCCCTGCAAAACCTGGTGGGATCGTGAAACACATCCCACAGTTTCTAGCAAGACACAGAACTGATCCCTGTCCTGCCCGGCTCGGGCCTCTCCTGGAAGTGGCTGTGGGTGTTCCGCTCTTCGGGCCACGATGAAAAGGCAGAGCTGGAAGAGGCCCAACCTTTCACTGTTGCTGCAGTGAGATCTGACTTCTCCCATCTCCTCCCTGCAGGAGCTGGTGTTCCTGGCATCGCTGGTGTTCCTGGCATCGCTGGTGTTCCTGGCATTGCCGGCGTTCCTGGTGTTCCTGGTGTTCCTGGTGTTCCTGGTGTTCCTGGTGTGCCTGGGGTTCCTGGCGCTGTGCCCGGTGTTGGAGGTGAGCAGATGGGCTGTGAGCAGCTGCTGCTGGGGGCATGCTGTCCTGGGCAGTGCCCTGACTGTGTCCCTTGTGTCCCGCAGTGGGTGGCCCGGCAGCGGCGGCTGCAGCCAAGGCTGCGGCAAAAGCAGCGGCGATCGGTGAGTCACCACTGTCACCACCGTCACCACCGGCTGTCCCAGGGAGGGAGGAGGTGTGTTGGCACACAGGGGAGCTGGGGACACCCCGGTGCTGTGGAGGTCAGTGGGATTCCTGCTGTACAGTCTGTCCCCTGGGACACATCCCTGAACCTCTCTGCAGGAGCAGGACGCGTGCCCGG